ATGCATCCCTGGCTGGCCTGGAACTTGCTGCCGTCCTCCTGTCCCCCTCTTCTAAATGCTGAAATTACACCTATGTACCACCATACCTGGCTTCTACTGGTGTTTAGACTTCCTGGTGAGGAAACATACTGTTTACATTCAAATCCTGGTTCTAATCATACCACCGCCTCCACCACCTCCCCCACCACTGCCGCCATCCTCACGTTCACCACCTCCACCTCCTCCACCGCCATCCCCACCTCCCGGAAACATACTGTTTACATTAAATCTTGGTTCTAATCATACCACCGCCTCCACCACCTCCCCCACCACTGCCACCATCCTCACGTTCACCACCTCCACCTCCTCCACCGCCATCCCCACCTCCTCCACCACTACCATCACCACCTTCTCCAGTACCTCCATCCTTACCTCCACCACCACCACCTCCACCACCATCTCACCACTACCTCTACCAAAGGTGAGCTTTGAAGTTTAAGAAGCCCAAACCATTTCTCAGTTTCTCTTTCTGCCTCCCGCTTGGGGATCGGATGCAAGTTCTTGGCTACTGCCCACCTGCTGCCATGGATTCTTCACTGTGATGGCCATGGACTCTAACCCTCTGGGACTAGGAGCCCCAAATTAAACTCTTATAAGTTTCCGTGGTCATGATGTTTTGTCACACAGTAGAAAACTATCTCAGATGCATGGTATGTTCCTTATTTGTAGACAGCTGTCCTCTTTCTGTGTTCGAATGTAACAGAAGGACAGATCAGTTCTTTGGGGGCTGTGATCGAAGGGCACAAATTCCACCCAGAGGGCCATGTCCCCTTGACCAAATCATCTCCTGACAGCCTCACCTGCTAATGCTATCACATTTGAGTTGGGGTTTTAGTACACAGGCTTCCTACTGCTACTATTTTGTTTTTGAGACAGTCTTGTTTTATAGCCCAGAATGGCATGGAACTGTTGGTCCTCCTGCCTCAGCTTCCTAAATTCTGGGATTGCAGGTATGGACCACCATATCTGGACCTAGATATGTTTTGTAGGGACACAAACATGCAATCCTTGGGATGGTGACTTTTTTTTTAACGTAGAAAAGCAATTTACTCCATTGTAAGCACTTACACAGTTAGTCAAGGAGAGTAACAGGCCTGATGGTGAAATAAGTCAACCCAAATGTTTGCCAAAGACTACCCCCCCCAAAGAAACTCCTATCAAGGATTAATATAATTTAAAAATTGAAATAAAATTGATGCTGGGTGATGGTGATTCACACCTCTAATCCCAGCACTCGGGAGATAGAGGCAGAGATCTCTGTGAGTTCAAGGCCAGCTTGGTCT